AAGGGAGAGTGTTGACATGTCTTGGAGTTGTTAACCAACGTCATAAAATAATATGTGTACTAACTGTTTAATGAGAAACTAGTTTGTTCTGTAAACTTTCGTCTGAAGTACAATTTAAAAAAAAAAAAAGATTACAGCCTTGGAAACCCTATGGGGCAGTTCTACTCTGTCCTATAGGGTCACTATGAGTCAGAATTGACTTGACGGCAATGGGTACACTAGACTGACTCCCCAAAGGGTGAAGTCAGGAGCTCACACAATGAACGATTCTTCCTTCCCTACCACATGCAGTAACAATTTAAAAAGGGGTATCTTCCTATTGGCACTGTCAAAACATCCTCTTCAGTGACTTTTCATCTCAAAAGAAGCCGTTCCAAAGGCACGGGACCTATCCAGAAGTGCTAACACAGGCGTTTTCAGCAGCTATCCTGGAAAGATCACGTATGCTAAAGTCATTGCACTGGCTGACAAAGTAACACTCAAGAAATTTTACTTACTTTTTTAAATAAAAGCAGCTAAAACATCTCTCTGTACTAAAAATACCAAAATAAAAATAGCAGCAATGAAGATGATAAAACCAAGCTTAAAATGATTATATAAATGAGTATAAAATACCAGCTCAAATAAATTCTCTCACTGTTAACACATTAACGACACTTGTCTTGGGGTAACTCTCAAACTCTCTCTCTCGTACATGCCCACCATGTCCCTAACAACAACAAAAAAATCTAAAAATTATCACTAGACTGAGTTTCCTGAAGGCAGGGACAGACTGTGTATCTACTTTGAATCCCCAACACTTCTGCGAATTATAGTGCTGGGCAAAGAAAATGTAGAACCTTAGTAAATCCCTACAGAAATGAAAATAGCAAAACTAAAAACCCCAAAACAAAAACACCCTTCAAATGTCTTGTCCAACTCTAGTGACCAGTGGTAAAAGCTTCCCATCTGGCTTCTTTCTACAACTTATCTTTAATTTCCCTGAAACCCACCCAGCTTATGGCAGCGCATAATCAGATGGATGTTCTGGTGTACTATGACAATAGCTATATTTACATTATATCAAATGACTAACAGATTGAATTCTCTTTGTTCTGTGCGTGCTGAGACACAGATTTCGATGTCACATTACTGAACAGCCTAGAGCATATAATGCCAGAAAGGAAGCAGCTGGAAAGTTGCTTTCTTGCTAGCTCACACTTGTTGCTTAAGACTACAGCCTAGGAAAACCATAAAATATGCTGCATATTTATTTCGACAAAAGCAACAAAATATGCTGGGTCCTAACTAATAAGATATCAAAAAGAGATGGGGGTAGAGGGGAACTTAAGTAGATAACAGGTTAGCAGAATATCTATACAAGGAAACAGAAAACAGGACCAGTACGGAAATCTACAAGTCACACTCAAACTGATAAATCAGAAGACTCCAAATTACAGGCTTCTCCTTTGAAACGGTGTCAATTCCCAGTTGAAATCACCTGCACAATTATCAAGAGTGCACAAACAACAAACTATAACAAGGAATGTGAACAAGCAATGATTTTCTAAGTATGATCCGAAGTTATAAAGATTCTCCAGAACAGTTGTCTTGTCTAAAACATGAGTGCTAATGTCTGGGTTATAAACTGTTTTGAGCCAGAATCTAGTTCTGAGCCAGAAAAAAAAGCAAAAAATAGAAGGAACTGGGAGATTTTCATTCTTAAAATGAGTATAATGCTGACAAAGTGTTAACTGCCATGTGAGAGCCCAGGGTGAAGTTGTCACACTGCTGGCCCGCCAATAACCAGCAGGATAAGAAGCAAAACAACTAGATCCCAAGGTAAGGGAAGCTGCTTCAAACAAGTGGAAGACTGATATGCTGGGGAGTAGGGCTGCTGGGAATATTTGAGGGCATATGAAAAATGGCACATAGGGTTTTCTGTCGCTTTATTTTGAAAAGTTGAAGAACCAGTGGTCTAAAACACTGATCTGGAAAAGTCAAAGACCAAAGAAAATCCCAGGTAAAGGATAATATGAATTTAAATAGACCTTTTCCTATGAAATTAAGCTACCATAATTTCATCATTGGTATTCTGATTTCCTTGGAAAGCAATATTATAAAAATTTCCTTTATAAATTTATAGCTTACAAGTATGTTTTTTTATTCAAGACCTATGCTCCCATTTTTGACCCTCACTATAGGTAAGGGTTTAAACATTTAAACCAAAACAAAATTATCCGAGATCTCTCATTCAACTGCTTCTGGGAATCTGACTGAATGTTTTCCACCAACGAGAATGAAAGATTTTACTATTGTTTCTCATGTCTTAAGTGTCTGTTGAGTCGTAGATACAGACACAAATTGAAGCAAGGTATGATCATCTTTATTTGGTGTTTCACTCCATTGACACAGATATTAAAAATACTCCTCGAAAAGGAGAAGACAAAATCAACCATCTACCAAAGCTAATTTAACAAAAAGAAAACAGTAAAGACTACTCAACATTACAAAGTCCTTCAACTGTTCATTTAAGAGAATTGCATAAAGAACTACATAATCTTTAAATTAATAATTTACAGAGGTTATAACAGTAGTTTTTGCATATGTGTTTCAAGTATTTTAATGAAATGAAAATTTATATTTGGGTGTAGAGGGAATTTTATCATCAAGGTCACACACTGCAAATCTGAAGAAGTATGTGGGCTCTCTCTAAAATTTCTTGGGGGGAAAAAAATCAGTGTCCAACAGTAAAATGCAGCACTGACCCAAAATGTCATCTGCCTTTTCCCTGCCATATGCAAGGATAAGCAGCGGCCTTTTCTAAACCCTCTCCCACATCTCAACTATGAGTCGGAATCGACTTGGCAGCAGTGGGTTTGGTTTTTGGGTTTTGGTAGTATACTAAGAGCTTGATCTGTGGAGTCGCACTCCTAAATTTAAATTCTGTCTCTGTCACTAACTAGCAGTATGACCCAGGGAAGTTACTTCATCTCTGTGTTCCTCATTTCTAGAATGGGAATAGCAACAGTACTTACAAAAAGGTTATGAGGAAAAGAGTTAATATACATATAAAGCATTTATGTTGCTGCATGCTGGTGATTCTCAGTAGAACTGCCCCATTGTGTTTCTTAGGCTGTAATCTTTATGGCAGCAGATTACCAGGTGCTTTCTCCCGTGGAGCTGCTGGGTGCATTCAAACGTTAGCAGCTGAGCACTTAATCATCGTGCCACCAGGACTCCTTATAAAGCATTTAGAGCATAGTAAGTACTGTACTTAATAAGTGTTAGTTGGTATTAAGATTATTTGTATTATTATTCCTACTAAATTTTATCTTATTATACTTAGTCCAACCTTCTCTTATGCCAAGATCCTTTTCCATCTGAATCTGATCAAGGAATTAGTTATTCCACATCCTCCCAAACCATGTCTTGCCACCCATAAATTCAATAACTTGCCACATGATTATCCCAGAAGCCACTGTCATCAAAGTTGAACAGAGCCTACTGACAAGCCCTAGAGACCTCACTACAGTATATTATCAATCCACTCACTAGTATCTTTGGTTACTCCTTTGCAGTAGGCAGCACATACAATTAGATAAAGTGTCCCAATGTTATTGGAGGGAAAGGTGGTGCAAATTTATACATGTTTTCATTTTTCAGGAGAGGAAATCAAGCTCAGAGGCTGAATGACATCCATATGTGACAGCACTTGGTGCTTCAATTTTTCAACTTACAAACAAGAGTAAACATTCCTGTAAGTTCTAGCAATTAAGTTTACTCAAGGATAAAATATAAACATATATAAATATATTCTATACTCTGAAGAAGAACAATATTACTCAAATACAATGAATTAGTATTATTTTCTCAAAGAGATCATGTTTGTGCTCAGTAGCATAAACAATACTGGCTTTCAATGGAATTACTGCTTTTTAAGTGGGGAGGAAAAACCTACATAATTAGGAAAATTTGAATCTACAGTATCACTACATTTAAAACAATTAGAAGGAAATCCCCAAGACTGCTTCATACCACGAAAATTACCCAATAAATATAATCTTTCTCCTATACCCTGCCTGCCCCCATGTACCCACTCCCAAGACTCGGAAAAGATGTGCTGAAATTAGGTTTCCGACAAGACATTCCTATTAAAAACAAAAACATCTTTCTACTTTTATATACAGGTAGTCCCTGATTTACAATGTATTCGAGTTACAATGAACCGCACTTGGGACCGTCCATTTCTTTCTTTCATACATCTTACCGTTAGTAGCATGCACTACATACAACGTTGCAGTGCATAATTTGGTGATGTTATCATTCTCAGGTGTTCATTCGCAGATTTTATGACTTAAATAGTTCAAAATACTGCCGTTTAGATTTAGTTTTCTAAACTAAATCAGGGGCTTCAGTTGCTTGAAAATGTGGATGCGAACACTGATTGCTTAGCTAAAGTCGATAGGCAAATTTGGGAAGCAGTGAGATGTTATAGCAAAATATACAAAGGAAAAAAAGAAAAGGACCATACAGACACAACTCTCACTAATTTTCTGACTAGAAACACCATCCTCCTTCCCAGGGATAATCCAGATGATTAAGAACCTTCCACAAGTGGAGTTTATTGCCACAACTAACAAAACACCAATGTCATCCAACTCTTCTTCACTGTCAAGAGTGAATTTTTAAGATTTGCATATTTTCTTACATATGTATGTATTAAAATGTACCTTTAAGTTTATATGTAATATTTCCAACCGCTAAAGACAAATAAAGATCAGATTTGTAGATACTGATAATAAAAGGTAATAATAATGAAAACTAAAAAAAAAAAAAAAAAGAGGTATTCACCTTATGTCAGAATCACCTTATGATGGAGTGGTCCAAATGGAACCCTGTGGTAAGTCAGGGATTAGCTGTATTTGCCATTAAACTTTCTGCTAACAAGACTGTGAATAATCAACTTCAGCATTATTTTCCATACACTCATAAGTGAGTTAGTTTTCTGTTTAGCTTACCAGAATCATTGTCTGCCAAAACACCAAGGGGATCTGCATTTGTCTCAGGTGGACCTTCAGGCTTTGACTCACACGAGGGACTGCCTAATCCAATGGTTGCTCTGTGTCCATCCCTGTCATTTTTCCATCTGTGATGTGTGCCAAGACTTTTGATCTCTGCCATTTGTGAATGTCTGGACATCCCCTTCATCTTTCTGGAATAAGAAAAATACAGTTCTCAATATAAAAGGCACTGACCTTTCAAGAAAAATCTGAAAAAGACTACTAAATGCAAAAGAAACCTAGCTGTCAAACGAAATCACCCGTGGCCTAGTACATTAGCATTAAAAGCAAAACCAAACCTATTGCCATTGAGTCAATTCTGACTCATAGTGACCATATAGGACAGAGTAGAACTGTCCCATAGGGTTTCCAAGGCTGTAATCTTTACGGAAGCAGACTGCTACATCTTTCTCCCATGGAGCAGCTGGTGGGTTCGAACCACTAACCTTTTGGCTAGCAGCCAAGCACCTAACCACTGTGCCACCAGGGCTCATGGAATAAAGTAAATTCAATGGTTTCGAAACAGAGAACTCTATGGCAGAACTTTGAAAGGCTAACACACTACAATATACCCTACTTTATCAATTCTAAAATGCACATTTCCTCCCATAGGAAACTGGGCTATGTTGTACAATCCATGGCAGGTCAATCTAACAGGCAGCATTCTTTCATTCCTAGTATACATAAAATAAAGGAGTTTCATAGAGTTTACAAAGTACATTAACTCTTGTTTACTCATTTTTAGGGGCATTTACAAATGATAAATTTGTAAAACGGCGTGAAGGGTTTACAAATATTCTGCCTTGTTTGACTGTACCGATAACCTCTTGAAATAGACTAAACAGATACCATTCTCTTCATTTTATAGGAGGACAAACCTAGACCCCGCACAATAACAGCTCAAATCACGTGTCCTCTAAACAACTACAGCTACTCTCTTAGAAATAAAATATGTACTTATATAAACATCTTCTAATCTAAACTAGGTGTAGGAAAAAAAAAAAGACCATTAAAAAAAGTTCATTATATGCACTGTCACTAGACAATAATACAAGGTGTCTGGTGGAATACAGATTTCACAAAGATACATAGCCTTTTCTAATTTGCCATGTATCAGGTATTATGAATTGAACTGTGTGTCCCCAAAATATGTTATAAATCCTAACCCCTATACTTGTGGTTGGAAACCCTGGTGGCATAGTGGTTAAGGGCTAGGGCTGCTAACCAAACGGTCGGCAGCTCAGATGCACCAGGCGCTCCTTGGAAACTCTACGGGACACTTCTACTCCGTCCTATAGGGTCACTATGAGTTGGAATCGACTTGACAGCAATAGGTTTGGTTTTTTTTAATTTTATACCTGTGGTTATAATCCTATTTGGAATGGATTTTCTTTTTTATGTTAATAAGGCAGTATTAGTAAAGGATGTGTTTTAAGCCAATCACTTTTTGAGATATAAAAACAGCAGATTAGGCACAGAAAAAGCAAGTAGAGATGGGGGAAGATAGGTGCCACACCACATGACGACTGTCAAGGAACCAAGGAACAAGCACCTCCCCAAGAGCCGACAGACAGAAAGCCTTCCCCTAGAGCCAAGGCCCTCAACTTGGACTTCTAGCCTACTAAACTATGAGAAAATGAATTCGTTGTTAAAGCCATCCATTTGTGGTCTTTCTGTTATAAGAACACTAGGGATCTAAGATATCAGATGTTTTCATTAATAATGGGGGCTGCAGCTGGGAGTATAAAATTAGAGATCTGGGTTCAAATCCCAATTTTGCCACTTACTATCTGTGTCCCTGGAGCCCTGACGGTGCAGTGGTTAAAAACTAAGCTGTTAACCAAAAGGTTGGCAGTTCGAATCCACCAGCTGCTCCTTGGAAACCCTACAGGTAATTCTACTCTGTCCTATAGGGTCACTACGAGTTGGAATTGACTCAATGGCAATGGGTTTGGTTTGGTTTTATATCTGTGCCCCTTGGACAATATCTTTGCCTATTTCCTCCTTCTTCTGTAGAATGGGAATGACTGAAATACAGAGAGAATTAAATAAGATAATATACATAAAGTGTTCTGCATTTAGAGCAAGATAATACTGGTACACTGAGCCTCCTATAAATGATAGTTATTATCATAATAACATTTTCTAAATAATTTGCCAATTCAACACAATCAGTTACCATCTCTGCAACCCTTTTTTGGGGTTACCACGACCCTTAGAAAACCTCATTCCAAAATATCATATATACCCTAAATTTTGCAGAAAAACATGGACCAATCTCTAATGCCCATCTGTAGATGTCAAGCTAAGAACTCAACATTGCTACAGCAGATAAAATAGGTAAGGTTTCTGCCTCTGGCCCACCATCCCTATGAAGACAAGAGACACCACTTTCCTTGGCCTTCCACTCACAGATGTCTTCCCTGTGTCCTGCTCCTCCTGAATCTGACCATGGCTGGCTTTTGAACGATCTTTAAGGCATTCACTAATAAACAATGAGTTAGGATGATCCTTAGCTGATAAGATCAATAAAACCTCATTGACGAAGTGGTATTTGGTATTACACTTCACCCCATCTTTGAGGGAACAGTTCTGTTATACCACTGCTTGACAATCAGTTGAAAGGAAAAAATAATTATAACTAAAAAGCTAATAGAGAAAAAAACAGAGTATTTTTTAAATGCACAACACATCTAAAAGAAGGCAAGAAAGGAAACAAGGAACAAATAGGACAAATAAAACAAAGAGGATGTTGGACGACTAAAACCCAACTATAAGAATAATTACATTAAATATAAATGGACTAAATACTAGTTAAGAAAAGATATTTAGCCTGGGTCATAAAAAAATGACCAAATTATACACACTATAAAAGATATACTTTAAATGTACAAACACAAAAAGTTTAAAAAGAAAAGGTTGGAAAACAATATACTATTCAAACACTAACCAAAAGTAATCTGGTATAACAGTATAACATTAGCCAAAGTAGATGTTAATGCAAGAAGTATTATACTGGAGATAGAGATTTCATAATGTTAAAAGGGTCAATGCAACAAGACATAACAATTCTACATCTGCATATACCTAATAGCATAACTTTAAAATATATAAAGCAAAAGTTGACTGTCTTAAGGAGAACTAGATAAATTCACAGGTGAAGATTTTTAACACAGCTTTCTCAGTAATCACTAGAACAAGCAAGGAAAATAATTTGTAAAATTACATAAGATTAAAACACAATTAACCAAACTAATACAAAATAGTACTATACCCAATGACTAAAGAATAGACATTTTACCAGAAGCATCATAAAACAATATCCTATATATCCGTAAAGAATGAAGAAGTTTATTATATATTAATATGAGGCAATCTCCAAGTATATCATTTAGTTAAAAAAGCAGTGCAGAACAGTGTTTCAAAAAAGGAAGAAAAAAAAAAAGGCTGTTCTCTATGTTCTCTATGTGCTATATACACATACCCTCGAAGGATAAAATGGGTTGCTTCTGAAGAAGAGAACTGTCTAGCTAGGAGACAATGATAGAAAGGACATTTTTTACTATATACCTTTTGAAAACCATATGAATATAGCTGTTAGTTATTTAAAATAGAGTCAAAATGAAAAAAAACAAGTGAAAAAGTTGCAGAGGCAATTTCAGAACTGGAGTATAGAGGTTTTAATATTTTAGTGTATGCTCTTTTTTTATGATTTACAAGTATACTGTTAAAATCAGCATTAGGAAAACGCAAGCAACGTTAAAGAACTTACCCATACTGCGTTGTCGTCAATACTGCGCCTCTCTTCTCCTTCTCTAGCTTTAACTTTTTCTTTCTTTCAATATTGGCCAGAGTTGGGTAGTTTCTAGGAAATAATAAACATTATTTATAAAAAGTCTTTTAGAGTTACAATTTACTAGTTAAACAATCAAGAACTGCTGTATTTGGCAATTTTTATTTAACAACTAACATGTGGCGTTGGTAGTTCAGTGGTAGAATGCTTGCCTTCCACGCAGGAGACCATTCCCAGTCAATGCACCTCACGTGCAGGCTTGAGTGTTGCCACGATGCTGAACAGATTTCAGCAGAGCTTCCAGGCAAAGGGCTTCTTCCTAGTTGGAGGAAGCCCTGGTGATCTACTTTCAAAAATCAGCCAGTGAAAACCCAGTGGATCATAATGGTCTGATCTACAATCCATCAAGGAGATAGTGCAGGACTGGGCATCATTTCATTTCATTGTGCAGGAGGCTGCCATGAGTCAAGGGGCCGACCTGACAGTAGCTAACAATGACTAACACAGTAAATCAACATAAACCTTTAATTGTTTCTAGAACTGTATTTAAAGGAGAAAAAAATACACTATAACAATGCTATCAGAAGTATAGATCAGCTGCAGCCCACAAACTTCGCTACAGTAAACAAGTAAGTAAGGAGCTTACACTGGAATTTAAATCAAATATATCATTAATCACACTGTTTAGTTCAGGTTAGTATTATTATATTGGTGGCAAGACTTTGTCGATGAAGGAACCAATGTATTTACTTTCTGGCACAAGCTCCTTATCTCATTACAGAATAGGCCTTGGAGTAGCATTAGACTAGAAAATGCTATCCATGTATCCCTTTCACTTTTTAATATATATAATCATCTAAAAAAGTATGCTAAAAGGTGGGATGAGGGGGTTAAACTAGAAATGCATGTAGGCTTCTCTTATGTCCCAGGAAAAACTCTGGGAAAAAATAGACTCTAAAAATGATTCACAGATTCCTTGTAGCTCTGGTAAAGAAAAAAAAAAAAAAAAACCCTATCAGATTAATCTTACTTTGTTCTACCATGAGTAAAAACTGGAAGACTGTCAGAAAGTATCTGATGCAATTTCTTGATTTCAGCAAGGCAGCTGATTTAATCACAATTTATCTATTGGGAGTGTGCCCATAAATACTGTAAGAAAAAAAGTAAGTTTACTCAATTACTTCTGCAAACACGTTAGGTACTTTCAAAGTTACAAAGATGAGGAAGAGACAATTCTCCTCAAAGAACAATCAACCAGGAAGGATATAAGAAAACCACACGAATAGATTTAACATAGGGCAAAACATAGTAAGTGCATAAAAAACAGATAAGATTGAGGGTGAAGATGGGGTAAGATTATATCTAGCTGGAGAAACCCAGAAAAAAGGGAACACGAAAAAAACTGATCTTAAAAAGTGGATACAGTGTTAAAAGAAATCAGACAGAAAAGCTTCAGACTGTTCTAAGAGGAGCAAACAGCGCAAACAAACCAAGGCCCCAGAAAGTGTACGACATATTCAGGGAATGGTAAGTAGTTCATTTTGTATGAACGTAATAAAGTTACTGGTAAGAAAGGGAGGCTGAAGCCAAAATGTACTTTGAATGACAGACTAGAAAGTTTGTAATTTAATTCAGCAGGCGAAAGAGAGCACTGAGAGTTATAAACAGAGATACGTACCAGGCAGTGATTAAGATTAAATCTGACAGCAGTATGCAAGACGTACTGCTTTGATGAGGCGTTTTTTGCTGTTTGACACAATGGTGTGGGGATGCAGGCACCAAACTCTGGTGGTGCAGGGGTAGATCCCAGGAGTATAAAATACACGGCAGGAGAGGAACACAGATGGAGGCTCTCTACTGCTTAGCCTGGCTGCTCATCAGAGTCAATTTTAAGAAATATCAACAAATGGTATTCTGCCAGTGTTTCTGGGACACTCCTCCAACCCGCCTTTTTTAATGTTTGATCATTGACTTGAATGGTACAGACAATATGAAGCTACATTGGAAGACAAGACTGGAAATGACATTCAGTAACTGGTGATCAGAAAAAAAGGCAATGAATTTGAAAGAGGACAGTACAAAGCAATATATGCATATCCACCCAAGAAAAATAAACTGCACAAAGAAAAGATGATGAATGTACAAGCTATAAATAAACGTAAGAGGAAAAGATCAAGGTCATAGGAGATAAAAATCTGACAACCAGTCAGCAGTATACACCTTCGCTTTTGGAAAGCAAACATCTGCGGTTCTATGAAACCGACTCTGGCACATGTACAAGTGGGAAGTCTTCCTCTCATGATAATCCAATGCCGCCAGGTATTCTCAGGGCACTGTGTCCAGTTTTGTACTTCTAAACTGACTGGGAATGTTGAGGAAAAAGAAAACTTAGAAGGGATTTAGGATAGATTCACATGAAATCTTGAATGATGAAAAATAAAACCTCTGAAGAAAGGTTAAAGGACTGGAACTATTGAGAGCCTCTGAAAGAGGATGAGAAGCGACAATAAAACCGTCTCAGAGAGGCTGGTAGCTGGCTATTTTCAATCTAGAGGCAGAATATGCAGAAGCAGAAATGATGAGAAAAAAATATGATGACTTTCACAGTCCTCACTGTGTCTAGACATATAACTCTCATCTATTCAATGCCTATCCCAACTCCCCAATTCACTTATTCTTATTACTTGCGTTTCTTCAACAGGTTTGTTCTGAGTACTGCAGACCCCAACAATGTTGAGTCACCTGCCAAAGGATGAAGACTGTCAATACTACAGGGCACCATGTACAAGCAGATGCTTAAGTAAGTGCTTTTCAATGGTAAACAATGGAAACATTCCTTAGAGCAAGAGGATTTTAGGTAAGCTAGAAGAGAGAATACCCTAAATGAAACAGCAAGGACATTGTGAAAATTCCTTCCATGGAAGCCTTTTAAAACAGCTTTCTCTTTCTGGTAGATTAAAGTTATCACTTTCCTAACAGTAAACGATCTTTCAATACCCCTTCCAAACCTATAGGCTCTATTATTCAAAATTAATAAAAATCCTTTCCCCAAATTTATACTATTCTTATTTGCACTGACACTAAAAACTAGAGAAAGCAAGGTACTAGAAAGCAAATTATTCCAAAATAGGGTAACCAGAAACCCAAGACCTAGTTACACAAACACATATAACAGTCAGGAAGCCCCCTCCACCAACCTAAAATAATCTGTGCTTGTAACAATGCCATCTACAAAGTCGGATGTACAAGAGTAAGAAAAAGTAAAGAACGTTGATAAAGGATACAGTTGAGTTTCCAAAAGTACACCTAAATAACAAACCTGTTGTATGGCACAATTATGTACAGATAAAATTTAGACCAATGTCTCCTGTTAGAGAAAATGGATGTTATGAAGTTATAAAGACTGTGACAGGGATATTTTCAGTTGGTTTCTCTGTATTTTTATCTGCTAAAATCACTTTCTCCCTGTACTTCCATCTTTCCCCAACACCCCACCAGGAATTGGTCCTGAAACCATATGCTCTTTTTTCTTTCTCTCTTTTCTTACCTCCTCCTTGCCTATGCCTTAAGCCTCTAATGATAATGCTTAAGCACCAGGGAAACAATGTATGAACAAAACTGTGCCAACCACTGAGGGCTGGGGACCATGGTCTCGGGGGACATCTAGCTCAACTGGCATAACATAGTTTATAAAGAAAATGTTCTACATCCTATTTTGGTGAGTAGTGTCTGGGGTCTTAAAAGCCTGTGAGCGGCTATCTAAGATACTCCACTGCTCCCACCCCATCTGGAGCAAGGGAGAATAAGGAAAACCAAACACACAAGGGAAAGACTGGTCCAGGGGACAAATGGACCACAACAACTACCACAGCCTCCACCAGACTGATTTCAGCACAACTAGATGGTGCCTGGTTACCACCACCAACTGCTCTGACAGGGATCACAATGGAGGGTCCTGGACAGAGCTGGAGAGAAATGTTTAAGTCACTCCCGAGCTCCACCCTTCAGCCAAAGATCAGACAGGCCCATAAAACAAAACAAGACTAATGGGCACACCAGCCTATGGGCAAGGATGAGAAGGTAGGAGGGGACAGGAAAACTGGTAATGGGGAATCCAAGGTTGAGAACGGGAGAGTGTTGACAAGTCATGGGGTTGGTAACCAATGTCACAAAATAATATGTGTATTAATTGTTTAATGAGAAACTAATTTGCTCTGTAAACCTTCACCTAAAGTACAATAAAACAAAACTGACAACCATTATCTTAGCACATATCATTCTACTTAGATTATTCTCTCCAACACTTTCCTTATCCTTAAACCACTACCCATTTATTGACTTTTCCCTAAGCCCATGCTCTGTGAAAACACCATTTCTCTTTGCTCTCACTGAACCACACCTGCTTCAACATGAACTATGCTACCGTATTTTTATTTCAAAGTTTTTTCTCAACTTTAATAAGATGTAACCCTCTTTAGGAGCAGACCCCTTCTGCTGGATCTAAATGAAAGAGAGATACAATTTAGAGCCACAGTAACTATTAACATAGAATCACAAAACTACTCCACCTAGTGGACTCCCAACCTTCAGTGAAGTAGGTTTCTAAAATCAAGGTTTTGGAAACAAACCTCTACCAATAGTTTTCCCTAACGCCAAATCATATGGCATTTGTACCAGACAGGTCAGGAACTAAGGAAGAATCCCTTTGAGAAGCAATTCAGGAGAGAAAAGTTACTAGTTAGGACTAAAAAAGGCAGTGGGCATTTAACACATGTTGGTTATCAGGGATAAGCCTTAAAGTTTTTAATTAAGCACAGCAAGTTCCTCTGAGTTTGGTTCATCTGAAAAAATAAATAAATAAATAAAGATGAAGGCATAAAGATGTGGTTTCTTTAAAGATAAAGAAGCAGTACAGCAAGCCAATCTTCAGAGATTCTTCCAGCTCTAAAATTCTTACTCTGTGAAATCATTTACATGGTTTTTTAACATAGTAACTACACAAAGACTTCATCTTTCCTACAAGTCAAAGAATATTTGTTGTTAGGTGCCGTCCAGTTGGTTCCGACGCATAG